ATATCTATTACATATGAAAATATATAATACGATATGCGTAATATTTGGTCATACTTGCTTTTAGTCACCATACACAAATATAAACAATGCCACAAAAATGCAAGCGGGTTGTCAAAAAAAGTAAAACCAAAGCAAAAATTCCTAAATGAACCTGAACTTCATACTCTATTGAACAAAAAGAAGTTGTTGTTAATTATGCAAAGGAATTTGGAAGAAATAATGCAGCAGCACATTTTAAGCTTAATGAAAGTATAGTTGGACGCTGAGTTAGAGCAAGCAAAAAATGGATAGATAATGTAAGCAAAAATAGCAACGTGTTGGTTCTGGGTGAAAGGCTTTTTTTTCTGAAGCTGAAAAAAAGCTCTATTATTAGATAATTGATCAAAGAAAAGTAGGTTTAGCTGTAACCTATACTATCATCTGAGTCAAGATGTTAGAAATTATGAAAGAGTAAGATATTGTAGCTTTTTATGGTGATTTGACAAACAATTTTAGGATGTTAAATCATTGGTTATATGCATTTATGAAAAGGTGGAATCTTTCTTTAAAAAGGCGCACAAAAATTAGACAAAAACTTCCAAAACAAACTGAGGAATTGTTAGAAAATTTCCATCAATTTGTTTTTCACCTTAGGATTGAAAAATCCTATGAAATGTGTAATATCTTCAACATGGATGAGACGTTAGTATGGTTTGACATAGTTGGTAATTTCACTGTTAATCAAACAGGTAAAAAAATGGTTCATATTCGTGAAACAGGCAATGATAAAAATTGTTTTACCATTGTCCTCACTTGTGCTGCTGGTAAGAGTTATTGTATCTATAAGTTTTTCAAAAAATCAATTTTTTTTTAATTTTTTTACCATTTTTTTTATATAGATGAAAGTAAACTGCCACTAATATGTATATTTAAAGGAAAAAGGTTGAATCGTGGTGAACAAATTCCTACTAGTGTGAAAGTTTAGTTCCAAGATAATGGATGGATAGATACAAATCTAATGATAAAATATATCGATTATTTTAATAATAATCGATCTATGGCACCAATAATGCTTATTTATGATTCCTTTCAAGATCACTTAGAAAAATTCGTAAAAGAAAAATTTTATAATGGTAATATTGATTTAGCATTTATCCCTGGTGGCTTAACAAGTATATGTCAACTGCTTGATGTTGCCATTAATAAACCATTTAAGGATAATTTCCGTAAAGAATAGCATTTATGGATGGTAGCTAGTGGTGCTGGGGTGATTTCTACAGAAAATCTTAGGCGCGCTAAATATATTGATGTTTGTAATTGGGTAAAACGTTCTTGGGAAGGTATATCTGAGAAAATTATTATTAATTTTTTTGTAAATTGTTCTATAATAGATTCTTTAGATAATTTATATAACAATCATGAAGAATTAGAAATTTCCGATATTGATGATGGTAGTTATGATAATATTCATAATAATGATTAATTAGGCGGGTTTTATAATAATTTTGTAATAGTTAATAATAATTTTCAGTTAATTTTATATTAATTCAGCTTTATTTTCAAATAATTTTATATTACAATAATGGAATAATAAATTTTTTTTTTATTTTTACATTTTTTTTCAAGAAATGCTTATTTTCAGATAATATTAAAAAATGGAGGTGCTTATTTTTGGGTGGTGCTTATTTTCAGGACTATACAGTATTCTTAAACAATGATGATTTTATCATTTAATTAAAATGATTCATTATTATTTTTGAATGATATTTATCATTCAATAAGAATAATTCAATATTGTTTTTAAATGATATTTTATTGTTTAATTAAAACAATATTTTTATAATTTAAGAATAATAATATATTTAAAAATAATAGTTTTATCATTTTTTAACAATATTTTTATTATTCTTGAATGATATTTATCATTTTTGAATGATAGTTTTATTATTTTTAAATGATGTATTCTTAAATAATAGTTTTATTATTTAAGAATAATGATTTTATTATTTAAGAAAGATAATTTTATTGTTTAAGAATAATATATTATCATTATTCAGTAAGTAAAAATATTGTAAAAAATCTGAATTATTAAGATTACAAAATGTTTTAATTTAATTAATTTATCTATCACCTTAACAACAAGCTTATTAGACTAATGTAATTTCTCTTATTTTAATGAAAGAAAATAATGAATTGTAATCTTTAGTTTCTGATCAAAATCAATCTCTAAAAATTATGAAATGTAATAAGTACACACATAAATTTTGAAGACTAATAGATTTTCTCAAAAATCATGTTTTAACTATTTATTTGAAATATCTAAAAAAGGAAAATTATTATTGCTTTACAGAATATACATGTTTAAGTGATGATATTTATATATGCAACTGTGAATTAGAAATTTATTAGCTGTTTCAATAGAATTTTGTTATACTTATAAATTTATTTTTTTAAAAAATATATTGTAATGGAATTGCAAATAGCATACATTTATCCCGATTAGCGAGCTTAACATTTAAATTGTATGAAATGTTTAATGAGAGCTTTGCTATTAAATAATATTACAAATCTTATGATATACTATGTTTGTAACTCGATTTTAATGGAAAACCTTCCAAATATCACTTGCTATTTGAATAATAGGATTTACATTTATTTTTAAATTGAAATATTTGGTTGTTACGTGATACTAAATATAGAAATGATCGAAGATGATCGTCCATAATGCTGGCCAAAAATTACAAAAATGAGCCAGTAATTTAGGCCAACAGACAAATCAACATCCGAGTACACATATACTTTACATCTTTTTATTTATTTAATGTAATAAAAATAAAATAAAAATTCATTCTGAATAAGTGACGATTATTTGTCATCAACATATTAAATTTGATTCATTTTCTCTGATTTTTCCAAAAACCTTACATCTACAACATATTCCTTTAGAAAAATTTCAAGAGAAATTAAGCGATCATGTAATTCTTTAACGTTTGGAGAAGAAGAATTTAACTCCGTCATTAAGGAAGGAGAATTGATTAATGGAAGAACTGGCATTGTTTTTTTAAATTTATTATATATTCTATGGCTATATCCACAATAATAAGACTGTATACTACCCCAAGGACGAATCGAATCGACACCTATTGCAAAACATAGAAAATAATAAGATATAAATCTGAACCATTTTTTTTTTTCTTCCTTTTTTTTAAAAAAAGAAAAATACATTTACCAAATAAAACCGCATACAATGCCGACGCCAAACCCCAAGCACCACCCATAAGACCAAGCACACTGAGTAACTTTATTATTATTAGTGGAATAAGAGCTGATTAGAGTTTGCTTATTAAAATAAATAATCAAGAAAACTTACAGTTCGTATTCTAAAAGTGTTGGAGAAGAGATGTTAATAAATGTTATTTTAACATTTGTTTCTTTTGTGTGAATATTAGTTTTCATAACTTACCTTTTTTCAGTCTCCACTTGTATAAGGAAACTTGTTACGGATAATTCAATTTCACTGTAATATCCAGTACTTAGTTTAGTAGGAAGAGGTGTGCTCTCTGTAATGTATGATTAACTTTAATATTGTATATAATAAGAATAAGCGGAATAATTTTATGTTTACTTACGAAAATTGGATATAATACGATGTTCGGTTTTATAAGATGGATTGACTCCAAGAAAACTACTAAATGAAGGATTAATTATTTTCTGTTGATTTCTCGTCAACCCTATAAATGAAAGCTAAATACAACAATCATAAGGTAACGGTAAGCTTTTTTTTTTTTAAAAAAAAAAAAAAAAAAAAAAAAAAAAAAAAATTAAACACGATTACCTGGTTATTGGCAATACGGTACATATTATTTGCGAATAATTCTTTCATGAAATCAAGAAATTGAAAAGTTTTCGTATAAATTTTATAATCTGGAGATTTTAAGGGATTATTTTCTATGAATGCAATACATAATTTATTCTTAATACATTTTGCCATCAAAGTTTAAAGAGAAAGACATCATTTATAAATTTACCGGAATCAACAATGTAAATTGATATCAAATCATTGGGTGAATTAGAAAATAATTTTAATTTTATAATTTGATCACCGTTTGTTGAATGCTTTGCATATTTCAAATTATTTTTATTCATAAAATATCCAAAATAACCAGGGTAAGCATCTTCCATAAATATTTGTGGTGATGACAATGTATCGTTACAGCTATAAATTACATCGACTCCTATATACGTTAATGTTAAAATTTATTTTTATTTTTCAAAAAAAAAACAAAATAAAATTCATGCTTACCATCATAAAATTGACAATCTACATCGAATGGAGCTTCGCCGTAAAATCCCATATCTGAAATTATCAATATTAAATAAGGATATATGATATCAATCATTTTTCATATATGCATACCAGGAAATGGCATTTCATTAGCTTCTACTACTGAAATTTGTATAGCTAGAGCACTATTAATCACTTCGATAATCAAAAAAATGATGTATACTACAAGGATAGATAATAATAATATCATTATACATGCTCTTAAAATATGAATGAATTTAGGTTCTGTCCTTCGACGTCGATTGAATAAATACATTCTTATTATTAAATAAAAACCAATCGATAAATGTTTATAAAAAAAATAAAAAAAAAAATCGAATTCAAGTTGGAAACAAGTTTAAAACAATGGAGTCATGCGGATAGTACAATTTTGCGCGGCAATAGTGCGAATAGGTGAATAGATACCACATATAGCTTGTGCCGTACTTAAAAAATTATTCATTGGTGTTACGTCTTCTGGCAACAGAAAATTTTGTCACTTTATTTGTTACACGAGGGGTGAAGTTGATGACAACTTACAAAATAGGACATTTTTAGTGACAATCCTTATTTACGTTAAAAACATTATTTCAAGGTTTGAAAAGTTTTATTATTTGTTGTTACTCTGAGGACGCATATTGATTAAGGCCTCCTGTTACAGAAATGCCAAAATGTTTTCACTCTAATTTTATTGAAAATGTTCTTCAATTGCAAGAAGAATAAATCTGGGTTGCGAGCAATTATTTCGAGAGTAATTCTTCAATTTCGACGAGGTCACGAAAAGATCCTTCAATAATATTTCATATACGACTAATTTCTTTTAATAATATTTTAAATAAATTAGATACTGAGAATTACAGAGCACCGGCTGTTACTTGCAATGATCTACTTTTTTCTCGTCATGGTGCTTTATCAAAATTGTATTCTTATGCTTTAATTCAAATTATCAAATAGGATTATTTATTTAAATGAATTGTAATTCTTTTAAATTTGTTTATTAATTAGTAAAAGTATAAATTATTGGAAGAAAATTTACATTGGATATATTAATAAAAAAAATTAATTATAAATATTTAGAATAAATAATATCTAAAAGTTTAATTAAAAAATATTATTATATACGTAATAAAACACTTTATTTTTCTTGACTATAAGTTTTTCAACGCGATTTTCAAGAGCAATCCTCGCCCTTTCAGAAAGTACTTTAGATTTCTTCATACAAAGCTTTTTCTGTGTATTTTTGGAGTTTCAACATCAGATTTTTGTAGCCTCTACTTCACCTAACGAAGATTGCAAATTACCAATATATCTAACTATGCTATTGACTTAATACAGAATTCAATACTTCTTAGTCATTTGTAGTGATGTTTCGCTTTCATTAAGAGTCGTTTCAAGTATTTCGATAAATTGTTGAATCATTGAGTTCTCAACAAAAATAAATATAGTTAACTATGGTAATGCGCGGTTTGCATAACTGTCATTTGAACTTAAATTTCTCTTATATCATATTGATGTTTGAAGGCAAAAGTTTGGAAAAATTTTTATTGAATATTTGAAAAAGATACATAGGTATTAAAATACATAAGTAACAAAAAGATACATGAAAAGAAGCACTATCTAAACCATACTAATATTTAATATTCAAGCTACAGAAATAGAGAGAGTGTAGTCACAAGAACAAGAAAAAATGCCTACGACATCCCTCTCTATTAATAATAGATTATTCATGAAGTTAAGCATAAAACCTTCCCATCAAAAAAAATTTTCTTGGAAAGCCATACTCTCTGCTCCTCTGCTGCTATCGAGACGATGTTGCGAAGGTTGTATTAACGTTGAGAAAAAATATCTGATGCGTTATGATTTACCCTGATGAAAGTAGAAAACCGTTTTTTAAAAAAAAGTAGAAAATGAAGATTTTGAAAATATTTATAATCAGAAAAATAAATGCTTTAAAAATTCTTAAGAATCGTGGGATGCAGAAAAATAAAAAATAACTATTGGTTCACTAAAAAATATCTGTGTGCTAAGACTTCTGCTCCCTAATAATTTCAAGATACAAAAATTCGATTTTTGAAATATGAAACGAGATCGAATTTCCAGAAATGGTCAAATTCAAAAAAAAAAATTTGGTTAATAATAAAAAGATAAGAAAACAATGCGTTCTAAGATATCCAGTAACAGACAAATATTTTTTTCTTTTTTTAAATTTTTTATAAAAAAAAATTATGTAAGAACTCATGTTTCACTACTGTATAAATGTATACTCCTCATTTTTATATTACACTATATTCACACGAAGTGTACTTACTAAATTTAGCTTGTGTCTCAAGACTTTTTTTTCTACAAAGCGGGTAAGTTTTTGAGCACACTTTCCCATCGTACCTTATATTTCAACACAAAAAAATTATGTCCAAGTAATGTTCTTTTCTATTACTTATCCCTTTAATAAAATTAAATTCTCCCGGCTTTTATATTTATTTCAGTCAGAGATATTATCTTACTTGTAAAGAACTCCGTACTTGATATTCCTATTTTTTTTATTTGTTATTTAATGTAATATCCTATAATTATCTACAACAATAGAATTTTATTTTAAATCGATAAGACTGATTCAAAGCTTCTTCCTTTTTCCAATTGACAACTCATATTGACAGGACTAAAGATATAAACAAAAAAATAATGTGTGCTGTATTAGCGTTAAACCTTGTTAATGTTTAATATTCTTCTTGATTTTATTAGTGGGCAAATGTGGAAGTGGGTTAATATGGTGGTATACATTAATTTGTTTTCGTAATTTATCATTTTCTTTTTTTTAATTTTTTTTTTTCGAACGTGATGGGGGGACCAACTTTAACTTTCAATCATCTACAATTGAAAAAGGGCCGGTACAACTGCTCGTGAATGTGTTTTTTCTTGGTGAGGGTCTGCGAATTTTCTGTAGAAGGAATTGCTATGCCATCTTCCTTATGTGAATCAAAAACTTCTTCATGAGTGGGTGTTCACGCAACCCGAGTCCTGTTGGATATCCCTCATCCTTGTAGCGTAGCATAGTCGATAGTCGACCGAGCCGTATTGTAACCTCCATCCTTGGACGCAATCAAAAGTCGATCGATCATGTAAGTTACCTATATTATTTATTATATTTCTTTCTGATATTATTTTTTGTCTGACATATGAGTTGTATAATTATTCTCATATAAATCAAATAAAAAAAATTATAATGATATTTATCATAAATGGGAATGGTTTTTAAAAATTTTTATAATGTAATTATATAAATAAAGTTTCTAAGGTATCAAACTTAAATACATCATTTAACACAGATTTTCATTGTTATACTTGTTAAATACTGATTCTGCAATAGTTTTCCTAAGAAAATGCATCACAAAATCTAATTAATCAATCTTATGCGAAATCATAAAAAAGTTTTAGATGAAAATATTGAAACTATTAAAAAAAAAAAAATTTATTCAAAATTTATTTTGCGAAAAAATTTATAATTTCGGAAACTGTTGATATCTACGTTCACAAAATATCTCGCTGATTTTAATATTTATCAATATTCATTTAAACATAATACATAATAAATGGAATCCATTTGCCTACTCGATGAATTAATATAAAAAATGATGAAGCATATCAAGGAAATTTTCTCTAATTCATACTTCAGACCGAATTACATAATACGATATTATATACTGTATTGTAAATACTGTAAATAAATTCACTAAATGCGTCTTAATTTTGTCGAAACACCGAATAATTGAGATCAATAAGTAATAAAATAAAAAGAGACCTGAACATATTTTTGAATTATCATGTGATTTATTATGTGTATACGACAACTATCATTTCTAAAGATTTATCCTTTCCTTGATTTCATAGGAAAGCGATTAAATGTGATGATTTGTTTGCTACCTTTAGATCAGAATAAAAAAAATAGTTTAAATACTATTATTGTTTGACATCTCTAAAATTTGAAATACTTCGTAATCTTGAATTTTGAATTGTTCTGTATCTCTTATCCCTTTTTCATATATATTATGCTTGCAATAAGCAAATTTATAATCATTTGCTCCGTCAGTAAGATTACTTATACACAGATCATTGCTAAATGTAGGACCATATCTATGGTGATAAAATAATGCATGCGCAATACGTTTAGAATTCACATGGCTTAAAATTGAATCCTTGGAATTATCCTTATTCTTAAAATACAAAATATTCATTAAGAACTCTCTTAAGACCAAATAGAATATGGGGCGAGAATTTGGTGAAATCTCTCTGGGGGGTTTTAAAGTCTTGAATATCAAAATTGGGAAGTGCAAATAAACCATATACCTAACTCTCCATATGGTTAATTTTTGATTTCGTGTAAATAAACTGATTGAATAATAAATGTCTTCCTCTTTCCTTCCATCCTTTATGCAGCTGAAACCCATAAAAAAAAAAATCTTAAAAAAACAATTTTGATTTTGTCAATTGTTTTAACAATGCATCAAATTGAAAGAGAAATCTGCAACATTAGTATGGTGGGGAACAATTAGAAAACAATGCATTACTCAACTCTAAGTCTTTATATCAATTGTTCGATAGTATATCTGAATCCCTAATTTGGAAAGGTTGTGTGACGAAACTAGTTTATTCTAAATTGGGTTATTTGTTGGACGATCGGCTAAAGTAAATGACATATAAACATTAAAAATCGATCATCGTAACAAAAAAATTTTCTTTCCTAATTTATTTAATTTATAAATTTATAAATGTCAACACAATTTTTTCCCAAATTAAGTCAAAATTATATTGAAATATTAAATGATGATGAATATTATGATATCACAATTGAAGTTGGAAAAGACAAATGTTAGAATATTTCGGGGTCACATGATTATTCTGTGCTACCGTTCTCCATATTTTCGACGTACTTTGGCAAATAAAAAGAATAATGAAGAGACCCTAACAAGTATTAAATTACCAAATATTTCACCAGAAGACTTTCAAACGATTTTGAAGTAAGTTGATTAACCAAGTATATTTCTCTTTTTAGAATATTGAGAATATTAAATCATCCTTTCATCTTAATATAGGTATATTTATGGTGGAATTATATCATTAGATGAACAAGAAATTTCAAACACTTTAAAAGTAATGCGTGCCGCTGATGATCTTCATCTTCAAGAATTGGTTGAATATTTACAAAAATATCTTATTGAAAAAAAAAAATGTATTGTTGGAACAACATTTTGAGCTTGCTTATAGAACAAGCCTTCAATCTAATTCATTTTTAGAACTTCAAAAATTTTGTACAAATATTATGGCTAAATCACCGGAAAAGATATTCAAATCACTTGACTTTACTTCGCTTCATGAAAAATCTTTAATTTCACTTATTAAAAGGGATGATTTACAAATGAAAGAAGTTGAAGTTTGGAATAATTTATTAAAATGGGGTCTTGAAAAACATTCCACGCTTATTCCGGATCCTTTAACTTGGTCAGATGATGATTTCAAAATG